CATTTATGTTTTCCTAGTGAGAACAATTTATTGGCACTATTTCCTGTCTCTGTAATTTCTCATTTCGCAGTTTATCCGGTGGCATATCAACTAATCATCAATTTAAGCAAATGCAATTCTAAACACAGGAATGCTGCTTCTGAATAAAGAAACAGAGCATGAAGCCATTTTCCTATTAACACTTTATGAAAATCAGGCATCTCAGATGACTGTCTTGAATAAAAAAAGCAGTTTCAGGGTAGGCAGGATTTCCTTATGACCAGTCTGAGGTAGCAATGGTCCTAAGCAATCAATTTCCTTTCTCTACCCTAATTTGCCCTTATACATCATATTCAAGATTTTATCTGGACAGGGGCTGGTTGGCTCAGTGGATAAACCTCTGCCTTTTCACCTCTGGGATCATGGTTCAAGTCATACCCTGATGAAATGCACTTGATCGTCCTAATCTAGTTCCTAGTGGACAGTATTCCCATTATCTTTAAAAGGGTCAGAGCCAAGGCCATTGGGAAGAGTGCATTGTGCTGTATCTTGGCTGTTGATTAATACATTTTCAGTGACACCAGATCCTTAATCTTCATAAGTATACATATTCTCACAAAAATCTTAATAGAGGTCCCTTGCAGACTATATCTTCTGCTCAATTTGTGTATCATTTCAGGATTTCAGGATTTCCTGGAGATACACCCACACCCCCCACAATAAATTGCTTAAAATGTACAAGTGTGTTTGCCTGAACTGTTTGCAGTAACACCTCAAAGTTAACTAGCATGATCATAACTCTAAATAATCACTACTTCTCAGAAGGAAAACAAGACCTTTAACTCAATCTGTTCTTACAGCACATTATAATTTTCTTCCCATACCATATCAGTTGAGGCTGAACACACATAGAATAAAGGGAATTTATTCTGTGAAGGGAAACTGAGTCAGAACGTACTCTCCATAGGAGAGTTTGTCCTCTGCACCAAGAGAGCTGCTGCACAATTAAAGAAATAGAACCACTTCCATTCCATGAACATCCAGGCTGGGAATCACTGGGCTTTTCAGCATAAGATTTTGGATCTGGTTTGGAATGAATGCTGGTACACCACCAGTGCCCTCTGAACCCTCTGGGGATCCTGGAGCTGGGTGCAGCAGTGCCCTTGGGCTAATCCTCCTGCCCCCGAGCAGCCCAGCCCAGGGATGGACAAGGGCTCAGTGTTTCCGTGGGAGATGGGCCTGGGGGGGCAGCAGGATGCAGGACCACCAGGGCAAGCACAGCTTCACTTGCTTGAAGTTCACTTGTCACCAGCTTCCACAAAGATCAATAGAAAAAAGAGATCATGATTTTAGCAGGAATATCATCAGGTTCAACTCTTAAGACAATTAATTCACTCATCACTTTTACTGCACAGCTGTGGTCAAAATCCTAAGGACAGTGCATTAGCTTTTACCTGGATTGATTCTTTAATACAGATCATAGGAAAGACAGGAATGTAGGTACCATTCCTCAGTTCTAATTGTAGTTAAAGATTATAAAATGATTCCTGATGATTAAATCACTCCTCTGTAGTCATTACAGGTTTTTACATTATTACTATATATTTATTTAATTGACTACTGAAGAAATACGATACAGCTTGTGGTTCTTTGGTACAAGTCAATAACCTGATTATATTTTTTTCATTACATAATTACCCTTGGCTTGATTTTCTTTTGATTGTTTTGAAATTAAGAGGGAACTCCTTTTGAAAAAAAGCCCACTTATAGCTTGATCTATTGCAAACAATTAAAGAATCTGCAAATACCTGGTAAAAGTGTAGGTTTATTCAAGAACCCCCTGCCCCTCTCCTAGAAGCACTGGCATGCTGATTTTTATCACTTAAGGGCTGGAAAGCCGAAGCTACGAGCGTGTTTTGTGTGAGTGACGTGCTGGTGAGGCAGGGTGAGCTCAGCAGCGTGGGCAGCACCACAGACCCCATCAGCAAATCCATTCTGGGGTCCAGGGCACTCTGCTCCTGCTGGGCAGAAGAGGAGCAGCACCACAGAGGGGCAATGGGGGCATGGTGGTGGCTCCCAGCCAGGGGCTGCTGCCTCTGGGAAGGTGTGAGAAGCCACATTTGTGCTTTTCTACTGCTCATGGGCAAGCCCCTGGAGCAGGATAACACCACGGAACCGACTGGAACAGCCTGGCTGTGTTCTACCCTCCAGGTCAGAAACACTGAGCTTCTGCTAATTGAGAAGAAACAACTTATACTGGGAGCTGTCTGATACCAAGGTGGAGCTCTGCAGGCTGCACCTCCTCCTGCCCACCTGTCTCAGTGCTCCTCTGTATCACCCTCCCCACAGACCCACTCAGGACAGCTCTGTGTGGTTATGGACTCGTGCCCTGCTCTGTCTGATGGAACACAGCTCTGCCGTGCAATTCAGAACATAGGAATTAAACAATAAAACAGTTTTGCATTACTGCAACAATTGTTTTCAAATAGGCTTTTTCTTTTTCTTACCACCACAGAACTGGGTAAGTCTGGGTGTTCCTTTCTCAAATACGATAATACAGAATGGTCATTGCACTCTGAGGTAATCAGTATAGGCAATTGCTAAGCTAACTTTGGAATAAACTACATGTAAGTCTGAATAAGATACATATTAGTTTGGAAAAATTAGACCTGACAGATTACAGTATGCATTTCAAACTGAATTTCTGTTAAACAGGTGATTTGTATCTATAGGAGATTTTTCATAAAAAAATAATAATTTTTATAAATATACATTAAGATTATTTTTGTTGATTACAATGTAAAAGAAGAAGGAATAACTGTGTATGGACAATGATAAAGTAGCCTGTTGATAATAAATATTTGTCAGGTCTTGTCACATCCGTACAAATTCCAATGTTACTGAAGAGACACGGCACTGATAAAAAAATACCCTCTGAAAAATCAATGGATTTTGAGCTAAAGCAGTTGCTAAACACACAGAAAACATCTTTATCCAGCAGCCCGAGTGCTGTGAAAATTCCCAAGCCTTGCATTGGTACAGCTAAGGAAAATTTAATCTTCCCAAATACTCATCAGGGCACTCCATCCTGCAGACCTGACAGCCCCACTTATAATTAATTATACAATTTCGATGGGAATATCGACTACACAAAGCTATAAATCATAGAAAAAGTCAATAGGCATGGACATATTCAATCATGTCCCGACCAATGATTACTACTCTTAAAATACAATAATTATTTTCAGGAGCCAGCTTGAATTAAATTTCTGTCAGGCTGGTACAAGACCGGCGGTTGATGAAGGATGCGATGGATTTTTTGGGTTGAATTCGGCACAGAGACATTTATCGTTTTAGATAGGTAGTTTGTTTTTAGTGATCATGGTGCTGCGTGTTTAACTAGACCATGAAGATTAGATTATCTCCAATGGCTCATTATATCGTTTATCTCTTTCTTCCATGTTTGATCTGGAAGATTTCCCACTTCTTGATGCATGAAAGAAATGACTACTGATTTTGAAATGGAATGTGTTTAAGTGGGATTCTGCCTGTACCTTCACACCCCACAGCCCTATATGTAAATCAAGCAGCACCCACCCAAAATACCACTAGGACAGGCATGAAGAACAGCTTTACACAGCTTCAGGAACTCACTGGGGGAAAACACAAATGACAAAAACTTGAGTTGTTTTAAAAAAAAATGGAAAAATTATTACAATAATACACACAGCAGAAAAATCTGGGACAGGAATGCGATTAATACGGAAAAAGGAATTGGGAGGAGACTTATTGCTTTGAATTAAATGTCCCCAAAACTGCAAAACATCAGTGAAAGAAACGTTAGGTAATTCCCAAGGATGCAACCACCTTGTAAACTGGAACCAAACAACCCCAAACTGACGTGGCAGTAACTGCCCACCTCTCACGGCCACATGAGCCACGCTGTGGGACAGCAGCAAGGACAGCAAGGACAATCAGATCTTCACTCCTTATGGGTCTTACTCATCAAACTCTTCTGACCTCAACAAGTGAGTGAAATCTAAGATTGTCATATGGAATCAATCTCCCAGGTGAAGCCAACTTAAAATCAGAGAGGCTACCAGGGCTTCAGCTTCCCTCCACGTCCTAGAGCCCTGCAGACAGCCCTCCACCAGCCTGGCTCTGAGAGCAGTGAGAGAACAAGAGAGGAGAGAGGTGGAGAGCCATGGATCCTGTGCACAAAGCAGCAATGAGCCCTGTGAGCAGGCACACTGTGTGACTGGTACAGGGTGCTGCTAAACTGGGAGGTGGGGACAAGGGCCCTCTATGAATTCCCTTGGATACAGAACTCCTAGGAACCCTTGGATGAAATAGAGAAAGCTGCAAGCAGTGATACACAGCTTTTCCAAAATGAAGTGGCTACCATTTGAAATAAAATCACATTAAAGAAAATACGATGCCCTACTCCACAGAAAAATCAGAGTCCTTACTACAAATTAAAGTGTTAGTGTCCCCTGTCTGCTTAATCCTCTTGGGAAGCCCTCTATGCTTGTCCAAACAGTGACAGTCTGCTGCAGAGCTTGGGATTGCTATTCTCCTTACTCTTGTGTTTCTAGTATCTTTTTGTACACGTAGAAGACCCAGGTGTTTTCAGAAGGGCTCTGCATTTAAGGGCTTTTCCTAAGTTACTGTGTGATGCACAATGAGGGGCTAGGAAGAAAAACAGGATGCTTGAAGGAATGCAGACTAGAGGACAGACAAGGAAAGGGAATTGTTTTGTACATTTACTTTTCAGTATTTTTCTATAAAAAAGAAGGTAAACATGCCAAAGTTAAGAATCTGTACACAAAATAACTGGCTAAGTTATTTTGATTGTTATGTTTGATGATGATGAAATCTGGAGCAGTTATTGTGCTGGCTAAATTATCTCTTCTCATTCTGCAGGAAGGAGGGCTGATAAGGATAAAGGGCTGGTTAGAGAAATGCAATTTGTATGTGAGTGCCCAACTTACTCTTTTGAAAGGGTTTAGCAATGAACTTACCGCAGTGCCATTGTTGTCTCTAAATACGTCTTGATTAAAATAGTCAAAGAGCTTCTTTTCTAATTGCAGCATAACCTAAATAAAAAAGTAGGGAGAAAGGTCAGTAAAGCTCCTGGACTCAGCAACTCAACACCCAGCTGCTGGCAGTGACCCTTTCAGAGACAGGCAGCCTTTTAAAACCACACATTTCCACACGTCCAAAGCCCCTTGTCAGCATGCCCATTTGCTTGGCTGGCAATCACTTAAACAGATCCAATTAACTGAGCATTAGGTGTGACAATCTATATCCTCCCCTCCCTTTACATTATCAGTTTGGAACAACTATATTCATGCTTTGTAGAAAAGAAAGTGAACATTCAACACTGTTTCTATTTACAGAGGGGTGCCAAGGGCATTAAGTTGTTTACCTTTCGGTCATTATCAGATTCACGAAATATTAGCTTGACTACTTCATTTGTGTCAGCTGCCCGGATGGTCTGCATTGTGGCCTTTGCACATAGTGTCTAAGAAAAACATGAGGGGAGGAAGAGAAACAAGCTTATATGCAACAGAAGACCAGATTTAACCGAACATTATCAACAGATGTACCTTCAGTGCCCCCCATTAAATATAATATGCTGTATGTCAAAATACAAAGCATTGCTAATCTAAGTCACTTCCACTCATGATGGACTTTAAACAATAGACTGAATTATCACTTGGAGAGAAACAGGCAATATTAAGAAAATATCAATCAGGAAAGGCAAATAGTCATTCAGCTTGTACCATGCAGACAGGTTCTTTCACAGGTATCACTGTATGCTGTATCACACATTACTTGCAAACATCCTCCAAACCACTGCTTACAGACAATGACCAGGTTCTGTGCTGGTTCTTAAGAGATGGTAACTACATTGACACTACAGTTCTGTGAGTTAACTCTTGTTTGCAAAAACATCTGCCCTGTAAAAGTACACTTTGCAAGTCTGAGAAATGTTTGCACAATCTGACAGCAATTTTCGCAGTTTACTGTGCATAGCAAATCCCCTCTTTTAAATAAGAGACATCACATCTCTAGATATTGTGAGAATTGGGTGCCCAAAACATATTATGAACCAACATTTTACCAGGCACAGAGGCATGAATTTCCATGCAAGTGTTGGGCCTTGATCCATTGGCCACTGGCCTGGTTGGGACCCAGTTCCACAGGCAGTGGGGAATAACCTGAAATGGACCTCTCAAAGGGCTGGATCCAGAGCATGGCAACAGGTGGAAATCTAGAACTTTCAGCAAAGTTTATGATGCTTCAAGTATGTCAAGTGCTTTGAAATGCAGGGATCTCCCATCTTAACTGTGTCTGGGCACATTTCACTAAGGGCTCTGCAGCTTCCCTGCCAGGGCAAGGCAGAGCTACCTGTGCCCATCTGCCTGGCTGCTGGGAACCACGAGGAGAAAGTCAGAAAGCAGAATTGAGGAAATTGCTCAAAATGGGCATTGTTCAAAGACACAGATATGTCCCCACACCTGCAAGGCAACTCAGCATCCATAGCTGCTGCTGAGGATCTGTGCACAGCCCTGGATGTGGATTCTGGCAAAGACCGTCCTTCTGAATAAAACTTCACTTTGCTAGAAGTTCTTAAGAAAAGTGTTTTTTGTTAAAGAAAATAACTGAGTCAAGGAGAGGCAAAGAGGTGACTTCCCTGCTGTTCACCCCATTCCTTTTCATAATACCCAGACAAAAGCTTTTAATTTTGCAAAATATTAATTTGTAAAATAAATATGTTCTGTGGTACAGACTTTCACATCCTACAATGTGCTTCTATCTCTCACAGATGGAAATACTTATATTTGGATTCATTATCTGAGGTGCAGTGTCTACCAAACACAACACCAAGAACTACAGCTCATTTCTCCTTTCTACATTCTTGCCTTCTCCTGAAGGCAGAAATACATGCCAAACATGTATTTAAACAAAAATCAAAAATACATCTGCTTCCAAATACTTTAGATCTCAGCTGAGGATCCCAGTGCCAGAATGGGAACAATGTGTCAATGGACTTTTTTCTCCCATTTGATAAAATTTGATCCTTGATAAAGGCCCTTGCCTATTGGCACAGTACAAATAAAAAACAGTGAGTTGTGCACTTTCATTTTTAACAAGTAACTTGAACGGGATTTGGTAAAAACCCATAAAACTGTTATTTTTCTTACAAGTTTGTGAATGAAACAGGTGTTGATTCCCAGTCTCACTGAACAAGTGACATCCATTTCTGACAAACTTTTCCTGACTGTTCCCTTCCTCCCCAAAGCAGCACCACGTCCATGCAGCTGAGGGTTTACCCTAAAGCGCTCGGCACACGAGGGGCACCGGCACAGCGCAGGTGTCTGTGCCATCACAGGTTTCACTGGCACAAGGAGCACTGGCCCCACAGGCACACGCACAGGCTGCTCTGCCACAGCTTCATCTGCTCTGCAGGACTGGAAGGTTTTCTGAAGCCTTGGGAGAAGAGTGGGAACTTGTTGGTTCCCTGGCTGGCAGGAGTGACACGCTGGAGCCTCGTGGGAGCTGCAGCATCTCTCAGCACAGACCTCCTACCTGTTCCCTCGCACCCAAGGCAGCCGGGTGATCCCTTTGTCTGCTCAGACATGCAGAGGCTGCTTTGCCATCTGTGTCCCTACAGAGCTAGCGAGGTAACCCTGCAGAGAGCCATTCCCAACCTCGCTCCCTCCACGGGTGATTGAAATTCAGAGCACAGATCAGATAATCGGGTCAAGCCCAAAAAAAGAGGCTTTGGGCTCATGTGTCACAAATCAGTCTGGTCCCTTCAAACAGCACACCAGATTAGAACAAGCACCCGAACAAACCAGAGCGGAAAACCCGCAGCTCTCTAAGGCTGGTTTCTAAAGCCCTAACAAATCGCTCCATCTTTCACTCATTTAAACTTTCCAAATGAGGGTCAATACGGTCCCCGAGCATCCAAATGCTAATGCGCTTAAGTGCGCTTAAGCAGCTTTCCAGAGTGAATGGGCCAAAGAAGGGCTCGAAAAGACACGGCAGAGTTACTGTCACTGTCAAAAAGTCATTGTAGCCACCCCCAGAGTGGTTGCAATTCAACAAATTCATGATTTCTGTCTCTTAAAGGCATCTGCTTGAGAACATTTTTTTCCCTGAGCTGCTTTATCTCACAACGTCAGGCAGGCTCCAAAAGAAAAACCCTGCGATCGACTCTTGAGAACCAATACAGAGAAAGGACCCACATACCTTATTGCTTTCAAATTTCACACACACAAAAAGTTACCTTATTCACAGACAAAAGTGATTGGGCAAAGGTTCATTTCTTATACAAGCTGGAGGCACTCCTTTTTTTCCTCCTCCTTTCAATTTCTGCACAGTCGTAGTCACCCAAGCAGAAAACTTTCGGGACCATGTGCCTTTTTAGGCAAGTCTGCTTATGAAGGGATTTTTTGTTGCTAGCAAAGAAAATCAAAATACTGCGAAAACTCACTGTTCCTTGCTGGGTATTCCCCCAAAGGTATATTTTACAAGGGCAGAAGAGGGGAAACCAGATATCAAAACTCTACAGAATTTCTTTTTTTAAAAAAATACCTTTTTTTTTAATTTGGAAATAAGATTTATTTAAAAAGCTTGTGGGAGAGCTGTTTTAACAGCTTAGAGAGAGCCCAGTAGCCAGCCTTTCCCTAGCAAACACAGTCACATCTCACTCCTGTTTTCCCATACTCTACACAGGTAGATGCTTTGTAGCACTTTTGAAATAACCCTTTGCCATAATTTATGTGTACTGAATTCTAAAACATAGTAACAACTTTCCTGACAACAGTCTTGGAATGTATTAACAACGTTCTGTTACACAAAGCTAGGAGGAAATGTTTTTTATGTTTACAAGAGACAAATCTGGAACTTCTAAACTCAGCAATTCTCAGAATTACACTCTTGATTTTCAGCATAAACACATCTTCAAAATACATCTGCTCCCCCATATACACCACAAATCAAAGTGTTTAAGACTGCTTTTCTGCATACTTACAGTAAATAGGGATACAGACATTAAAACAATTGCTATATGCATAAAACACACGACAGTCTATAATATTCACTTTATATTGTGTTTACATGGGAACACTGTGAGCAGCTGTGGACTGCACTGCTGCTTCCTGCTTGGCTGAAAACGGCAGCTGATTTTTCATTGATTCCACACTCCTGCTTTCTGAACATCCTTTATGACTCTACCTCCTGATGTGAGAGCTATTACATGACTGTAGGTCCCTCAATAATTTTTGGGACACCCCCCCCCCCCAAAACATGGTATTCAAGCACCTACAGACTCATCCTGTCCTTTTGCATCTGTCCACTGCTGCTAAAGATGTGAATTATTATTCTCTATTATTTGGATACTCTTCTTAGGACTTATTATTACTCTGAATTCTTAAAAAACTGGAGAGAAAATAGCATATATACATTGCTCCTTTACAATTAAAAGAGTTCAGCAATAGCTGCCACTGGAATTTGCAGCAAGCTGCACAGATTGTGACACAGATGTGCTCATGGCTGTGAGTGTTAGGAAAGAAGTGCAGAGGCTGAAGACTCCTACAGGAGCCAAGTGAAATAAGGTCTTGAGCACATGAGCAACCAAATTAACTAAAGTTAAGATATTTAATTTTTTTCCAGTTACATACTCTGTGTATTCTGGAAGGACAGAAAAGAAATACATACATATATCATCTAATTATGAAAGTGACATACTTCTGAAATGCTGCTCTAGACCCAAAATAAATCTGACACTTATTAAATCAGGATAATAATTTTTTAAAATTATTATTATTATCTGAACGCAAACTGTATTAGAAATAATCAGCAAGGTAAAAAAATTGTTACTTTGGGAATAACAGGAACAGCTGTCTTGTTTGGGCTCCTCTTTTACCTCTGAGGAGATGACACCATTTCCTGGATATTGGGAATACAACAACAGTAAATTCCCCAAGTCACATGACATCAGGAAAACAAAATGTGCAAGTGAGAAAAACAAAGTTACATGTAACTTTCTGAGTCAATGAGAGTTGTGCATTCAGCTACAGTTGGCTTCACAGCTGCTACAAAAACCAAGGGCATCCCAGGGCTCAATCTTCAGGGTACAACAACCAAACCCTACCTGAGAGGACATACACTTCTGTTGAAAAAATACAGACTTTAGACCATATATTACCTTGTGTTAACTCTAACTGTGTGTAAATAGCAATAATATCCCAGAACAGCCACTACACTTCCCAGCAGCAGTAATTGAACTCAGCAGTGACAGAAGTGTTAGCTGAATAAAGAACAAACACAAACAAGTATTAATGAGAATCCACTTAAACACCAATAAAATGACTTTCTCTTTGGATGTTCCCAGAGGAGCGAGCTGGTATCCAGGGGAGGCAGTGGTGGAGGAGCAGCAGAGTGAGAGCCCTGCCCTGCTGGTGCTTCCTCTGAGGGCACATCACCACCACTGGCATCACCCTGCTGCCT